TTTACCTTTAATATACTTTTAAAAGTGTAAATATATTTAAGATTTTTTGTATTTATTTATTTACTTTTTTTAACTATTCAACATGTTAATAAATTAATTAAACATTTATTTCCACTGCTCTAGCTGCACTGTGCACTCTCTAATCTTTAAGGAGCGACTAAAAATCTCAACCCAAGCAAAAATGCAATTCAAGGAAAAATATTTTTTGGTATTGGTATCAAATGCGAAGACTTCTCTATAAACTCTCTTGTGCTCCAGCATCAGCTTACCAATTAAAAATATTTTATGAATATTCTCAGTCGTTTACAGAGGAAAATCTACATTTCTATTCGCGATTTCGATTTATATGCGATTTAATACCCTGCAACTTGAGCTCAAAAGTCGTACTACAGAATACCCAATAATTAAAATAAAGGAAAGAAGAGTATTTTAAACGGAGATCTTCTTTTGACCGACTAAGTGATACCCTAAGATACCCGTTTGTTCTATGTTTCCTATGCATAAAATAACAAAAACAGTTTTCTTATAATAAGGACAAGTAAATGTTGCTTGTTTATTCTTCTTTATTTTTATTTTTTTTTTTTAATTTGCGCACAGTAGGTGGGGACATACGAAACCTGATATACCTCAAATCCATGCAATCAAGATAGCAAGGAATATAAGCAAATCTCCACCCTTTGTGCTACTCAGGTTACGCCCTAAAAATGAAATCAATTAATGGGTTTTTATCTACACTAAAGAAAACTGATAAGTTCATGGGGTAAAAGGTATATATGAATATAAATATATGTATATAAATGAGTATTATACATATGTAAATTTTTGTAAATACGGTTTCAATTTCAATGAACTTAATGTATATTCTAATTGCTTGTTTCCCTTAATGGCTAAAAAGAAACATATTAAGCAAATCCATGAGGATTTGTTGCTTAGCTTTTTGCCTTTCAGCTTTGCAGGGTATCTAACCCGCCTCAATCGCCTGATTTTCGTTACAATTTGGGTCGACTCGGTGCATATTCTATCATCTACATTCTTTCATGGCCAATAAGAAATAGGCTAGCATTTGGCTATTATATTCATATGAGTCTCTATACATCCGTAGATATTTCGGTTTTGCAGGATATCTATATAGTCATGTCTATATAGTTTAGTTGCGACACTCGAATACTTACGCAGTTAACAACGGGCGGCAGCAATGAGGCTGATATGGCAACGCCAATCAGCGGCCCCGCAGAGCCCTGGAGCAGGGCGACGGCCACCCCAGTGCCAGATGTTAGAGCCCAGAGCACGCCCATCCACAAAGCGCGCACATTGCCCCTGCAAGCAGAGAAGCAAAATAGAGAAACAGAGAATTATACATATTGAAAAGCCAAAAGAGGAATTAATTAAAAACACAGAAAATGCCACCAAATGACAAATGCCAGCTGTGAGCCGAACGAAAATTGAGTTAAGTTTGAGCTTAAAGCAGAGAGAGAGAGAGAGAGAGAGAGACACCGAGAGAGAGAGAGAGAGAGAGCTGGACGAGCGACGGCTGTGGCTGGCATTTGCTTATCTGCGCTGTCAACTGGACACGCCGCCAGGTGGCGCTGCATGTTCACGCTGTTTTTTCATACTTTTCATTTACGTTTCTCTTCCACCTTTCTCTCTCTCCCCTCTCGCTCTCTCTTTGTGCTGGCAATGCGCAACTTTGTCAAGTGTCAGCGGCTTTTGTTATCAGTTCCGGCAAGCGACCTTGTCGCCGCTGCTGCAGTCATTTGGTTGTGAAAAATGTTTTGGAAACTTTTCATTGTGCTGGCTTTTGATTCATGCACCTCATTTGCGCCTACATGCCGGCTTCTGCCTTCTATTTTGCAACTTTGCTTGATTAATGGCCCACGACTCTGGTTACACTTGCTATGCTATGTAATTTCTGCCCTTCCCCTCCACAAAAAAAAAAGTGATACATTTCACTTATTTTTTTTTTATCAACGCAACAACTTTATTATGCGCCGCAATTTGCGCTCAATTATTGTCGAACTTCGCGCCTGTCCTTATAAATTAGCAGGTGCATATTTCACCTTTGCCAAGGCACAAATTTCAATGGAAATTTGGAGCTGGTGGCAGAAGAAAAATTAGAAGTGATTCGGTTGAAAACTTTTGCAAATTTGAATTTACAATTGAGGTTTTTGCTTGGAATTATGTTAAGGAACTCATTTACATATATGGGCTGACTAGGCAAGAGTGGAAGTATTCTCAATAAAATAAAACACTCAGCTTCTTAAGCTATTAATAATCGGAGGTTACTAAAATTTAATGTAAAATATTCCATTTATTTTTGAGTCACCTCATTTTTGCTGAGTATATACAGTCGAAACTCGATAATGTGTATTTTATTTTATTTATTTATTGATTTTTATACCCTGAACCCATCGAAAATGGGAAATCAAGGTATAATGGTTTTGTTCAATGTGTGTAACAGGCAGAAGAAGGCGTGGCAGACCCCATAAAGTATATATATTCCTGATCAGGGCGACGAGCTCAGTCGATTTGGCTCTGTCTGTCTGTCTGTCCGTTCGTCTGTCCGTATGCTTGAACGCATCGATCTCAGAAGATATAAGAGCTAGAGACTTCAAATTTTTTTCCTAGGTTCGTGTATATCACGCGCATATCGAGTTTTTCTCTAAATATCGATAACTACTCCCTATATTTTATTATCTATTAAAAACCTTATGGAAAGGCCGTTATTTAATTATATCTCCTACGGCTTTAGAGCTAGAGCTTTCAAATTTTTAATGTAGACTTATATGTATATTATACAATTTCCTTTTTTGTTAAAATTTACCCTCCACCCTTATATTCACCCCCTCACCTCACTTATGCTTTGGCAAATACATGCATATCCATGTTATTATCATAATCTGAAAGTTTCATGAAGATAGTCTATCCACAAGAAAAGTTATTGAACAATTAAATTCCCATTGTAAGCCACCACTGCATCCAATGCGTGTTTATGCGTGCGTGCGTATGGCTCTGTGTGGGCGTGTGTGTGTGCATGTGCGAATAATTATTGAAATATCAGTTGCTCGAAGGAAATCTCGTAGTCGAGCAGTCTCGATTAGAGCTTTCTCACTTGTTTGGTCTGAGTAGTGTAACCATTGAATCATGTTTCCTAGAATTTCCCTTATATTCTATATGTACTGTTGGCTCAGCCAAGTCCAAAATAAATTCGATTTATTGTGCATGCATTCCATTCAAAACCGAATTACAGTGAATACAACCACAAACGGTTGGTTATCAGGCAATGTACAGTAAAAACGCCAGAAATTATGGGACCGCAATTCGGCAAATGGCAGCGACAGAGCTGAATGTGTTTATAGAGAGAAAAAGCAAGAGGGAGAGGGAGGTAAAAATAACTAACATATGCACAATAGGAGTGTGTGGCAGAGGGGGAGTGTTGATTCGGCAATCACAGCGAGGCAAATGCGAGCGAGCGAGCCTTTTGTTAATATTATGATGATTTGTCTGTGGAGGGCTTTGTATTGTGTGCGTGTATGCGCATGTTTGACTGTACGTCCGCACATTTGGCTGTCAGATTTGGTCCTGTCTATCTCTATTTGGCCACGGACAGTCCGTGCCTCTGTATTATTATTTTAACAATTTATTTTGCGCAATTAACACAATTGCCGACACACATTCATTACGCGCAGCTTCCGGCAAAATGCGCCTGAGCTTAATTTATTGTGAGCCAGCGTGAGTGTGGTGCACTAGCTGTGGGTGTGTGTGGGTGTGTGTGGGTGAGTGCGTGGGTGTGTCTGGGTGTGAGCCCAGAGCCTAAGCCTGGCATAAGAGATTTACGCAGTCGGCACGTGGCATCCTCAAGATTTGCGCTTTGTATCGTCTGCCAAGGCAGAAGCAAACAAACAAGCAGACCAAAAAAATGGCAGAGGAATAGACGATGCTATAATAAATGTCTGCTCATATACTAGCCGACTACAGTAGTCTCTGGCTGCGACGGGTGTTTGCCTAATGAGCGCACGCCTCACATTTCGCTCCAGCTGATCAGATTAGTTGAATTATTTGCAAGTAATTTATTAGGTTTGCGCTCATAGATTTCCCACTGAGCTGCCAAAACTTTTGGAATTTGCATGAGCCGATGCGTAATTAACATACTTAATGGATTTCCATTTCCATTTTCCATTTTCCACTTCAATTGTCAGTAGCACAGCTAAAAAAATTAACTTGAGTTTCATAATACTCTCAGCATTAATTGCCAGCGAATTTAAATCCCTCTGCCTCTCTCTCTTACCCTACCTCTCTCTCTCCCTCTCTGCTGTTTCTATTTGTGTTTATAGCATCTCATATCAATTCAGCTTAGTTTCTCATTTTTCAGCTGCGCTAATTAGTCGGTCGCTTGGGCAACTAATCTGTTGAGAGCAAACATGGTTATTCCATAAATTCGACTCGCTGCTACCTGTGAGGTGCCTCGTCAGCCCATCAATGGCAATTGACAGGCGAGTCAGCATCGAAAAACAGCTCAGCTTTCCCTTTGATCGACATGTCGATAATACTACAATATGTGTGCTCTTGAGTTCAAAGACGATGCTAATTGAAAAGCTCTCGTCGTTTCTTTAAAAAAGAGTCGGTTGGGCTAATAAACGAGGGACTATCCAAAAGCAAGGGAGCTCAGTACCCCAAAAAGAGACCAAAATAAACTGTCTTAGATTTCGAGCTCAGCTAATTTAGTTGACGACGTGACAAATTCACAGCAATCGGCATCATTTGTTGTCGTTGTTGTTGTTGTTGTTGTTGTCTAGCTGATTAGCATTGATTGAGACTCACCTGCCGCGCATCTCCTCGGTGGGCCAATCCATATTCTGGCCCCAAGGCATTTCGGTGGTGCCCAGAATCAGGCCAAAGCAGAAGCCAAAAACACATGAGATGAACATGCCCAGGCTTAAACTAATAAAGCCAACGCGCTGCAAAGCAAAACGAGAGAAAATCAAATGAATTCAATTTGCATTGTAAATGTGAATGGCTGGCAGATACCCTCTACTCTAGTTGTAAATAAAACATGCATATTTGTGTCGATATGCAAAATATAAACAAACTGAGAGAGAGAGAGGGCTTCAATACAATCAATCGAATAATCATGAATTCATATTATTTTTAAGTAAAGATTCAAATTAAAAATAAATAAAAAAAA